AAAAAAAAAAAAAGGAAGAAAATTATGTTCAACCTGACTTGGGCACAATTAGCCACAGGCCCCAAGTACTCTACCACATTACTGTACTTGACTCTCATTCACCGAAAGGCGAGACAAAGCACAGCCCCAAACTGATTTACGAAGCGCTTTCTTTTATCCAAAGCTCCATATTTTAGGTAGAGCTATAAGCCAAGAGATTTCGAGAACCTATCCGAAAGATTTGCTATTACGAACCCTACGAATACCTGCAATGAAGTTTCATAGAGACAGTTATAAAGTGCCAAATAATTGGAAACTCACAATTCTAGTCCAATTCTAGTCTCACACTAGGTAGGAACTATGTTACTTGCAAATTTAGTCTTATTCTCAATCTATCTTCCTTTTCTTTTATTCTTACCTGAACGGAGCCAAGAATATAAATGGCCGAGTATTGTCGACCATGGATCAACATATCGGCCACCATGGCAAGTGGAATGGTTAGGGACATGCCCAAGGTGGCCACCAGTGGTGTTGTCCAGACCACACATAATGCCCTACCAAACATAACAAATACTAAGATTAAACTGCCTCGGGTGATTCGGTTTCTTATTTTCTTGACAGTAAAAATAAAAGCTTTCACGTACCAAAAATAGTCGGAGAGAACACTTCCAACAAGCCCGTTGGCAATAACAACTTCATCCATCTTGGCCGAATGAGGAATTGTGAATTTCGGTTCTATACCCAAAGCCGTCAATGGCCATACTGAAATATTTAAATTGAAATATTGAAACTAAGTTGGAAAAAATTTAGAGTATGGTTGCATCTTAAGTATACTCAGTCTGGACTCTGAAGAAGATTTTCTAGCGCTTAATCAATCCATATCAAGCAATCAACCGCAAAAAAAAATCACGGTCAAGTTCACAACACATTCAAAAGATATTTTATCATTCTCCAAAAACACGAATTAGACAGTAATCTTCTTACCGAGCCACCAAAGTGCGACAAGTGTACCCAGTCCAATATACCCAAACAATTTTTGCACATCAACCCTCTCTCCTTCCTCGCCAGAGAACTTTTTAAGTAGTACTGCAGCAAACAACAACCAAAAAAAAAAAAAAGCAATTTAATAGTACGTTCATTTTCAGTCATTCACACGTTACTTATTTACGATGCTTCTCACACCTGTAAATAAGCCATACGCCACAGCAGACAGAAGCCCAAAAAAATCCCCAACAAGAGAGCGTTGATCACTTTTTCAACAGAAACAAAAAGTTGAACCATCAGTCAATTCCCTGAAATATACAATTACAAAATGCAAACCATTTATTTATTTTACTTATTTATTTTTTCATTCATACACTTTACCCAACATCTACTAAGCAAGGACTGCTATTTAGCAGGAAACACTCACGAAGAATTGTTGAGTTGTGACTCATCGGCAGCCCAAGTTTTCCCGAGAGTTGTCATGACTACACCAGTGATGCTGACGAATACGGCAACTATCTTTGAGACATTTAATGAATCTTGCCCCAAAAATGCACCAATGAAGAGAGTGAACAACCCTGAGGTTGAGGACAAAACTGTGGTACTTGCAACACTTGTGCGTGCAAGAGCAGCATTTGATAAGTACTGCAAAGAAGGGAAAAGGCACATGTATAAGTTGGGTTCATCTAAAATCCAAAATAATTGGGAACTTTCATAGTTCCTACTAAGAGAGGATTGGCAACACTGGAAAAAAGAAAGTGATTTTCATCTTTTAGTTCCTCCAGATGGCTTCTTATTATGATTCTTTTTTCCTGTCATGTTCTTATTAAAATCCAAAAACATGTTTTCTCTTCCGAAATACCAATTATCATTAAGGGATATGAGTCTTGGTCATTCTATCTAAAAGCTCATCTAGTAACTGCTTTTCTCCAATACTTTTAAATTCGACTACTTTTAGCTTCTACGACAATAGATCATGTTAAAACCTTAGGTATCAGTAAACACTCTAAGATTCCTGCCAAAACAACAATTCAATTTGCTAATAATCAGTAAGCAGTGAAAAATTCATCAATTTTATTATACACATGCGAAATCAGAAAGCTTGCCCAAGCTGAAGATTACCTCAGTGATGAACCAAAGTGGAGCAAGACAAAATCCATAAGTAGCAATTTCTTTAGTTGTGACTTCTTTTTCTGGTCCGATATTTTTAGCATCACCTTGTGGTGAAACCAAAGGCTTCCCCTCTTCATGTTTTGAGAGGTCCAAATCGCTGTCCTTGCTTTTCAAGGATCCCTGAATCTCAATTTCGAAGATTTTCTGTCCCCCTAAGTAATTTAAAGAAGATCCCAGTCCAGGACACAAGCCCTCACCTTGATCATTTCTTCTGGACCGTCTCTTCAGGATATTGTATATGCAATCCTTAATAAATGCAATTGGGAGGTAAATCACCATTAGAGAAGCTCCCAGATACGTCACTGCGAATGGCTGCTTGTAGTCTGTGAAAATACCCTGTTTTAACATAACCAAAATTTACCAACTTAACGATGCATGCACTAGTTTGTGATATCAATCAACGAGAGAGAAGGGGGGGACTAGCTATCAGAACCGACAGATGGCATGAAAGAAACTACTTCACTAATAGCACAATAAACCTTTCTTTTACAAAAAGAATCACAACAATAGAAGTTTCACAATAAAGATTTCGACTTTTTTTTTTGGCATAAAAGAATCACTACTTTAAATTAGCTCAAATTCTAGAATGTAAAAGGTTAAGTTTGTATGGTTTCACTATGTGGCTTGTTTTCTTCATACCCACACCAGCACGCCGTGAAGTACGTCAATTGTTCATAAAGTTGTACGGGCCAATTCAGCTCTGGTGATTGGTGCATTCTAAATTCAAAATGGGCAAAGCTTAACATTCATTTTTTCTACTGAAGACAGAGAAATGTTATAGAAGAGTCAACAAAATCCTCATGCTGACAAGCATTCGGGTCTCATAGGATACCTACCGCTCTCCCGACAAATTCACTTTTCGGAAAGCAATAGCCAGCACAACTAATATTTACATATTTTTCCACACTCATCGGACAGCAATTTCGGATTCCCCGGTACGAGTTCTTGACCACAACAAAGTTAACTTCCTAACAGATCAACTAAAGATAACAGCAAACTGTAACAGACAGCATTCAACGACCACAAATTCAATCACGCTTGCCCCAAAAGAGGAGAAAAGAAAAATTGACACCGCCCCAGTAACTTTTCAAACATCAATGTGCGCCCATGTCAATTTCCACAAGTTAAACACATATGCTATCAGATTCGAAGATCAACACAGATAATCCCGAGATAAATAACAGACAGAACATTGAACTGAGAACTTAATAACACACAAACACTGTTTCCGACAAGAGAGCGAGAGACGAGGAGGAGAAACCAGACCTGCGTAACCTCCGCCGACGTAACCCAAATGATGACAACAGCTGCAATTAAGCACAAACCAGCCTTGTACCTCCACCCCATTAGAGATTCAAGAGAAACTAAGAAAGCCCAGATTCAAAAAAAAAAATAAAAATCTGATCTTGACCAATAAAAAACAGAACGAAAGAAAGATCTGAGCTCCCTTTAAAACCTTGAGATCTTGCTTCACCAAAAAGTCCAGATTTCGACTACGCAACCGAAGGCCGACTGAATTATCCCGCACCCAATTAGACAAAAGGAGAAAAAGTTGAAGATGGGAATGAAAACGATGTCCGCTCGGTGCGCGTCGGCAAGTTGTGGGTAATTTGGCTTTTAATTGTATGCTGATTATGAGATTAGAGTTCTCGCAATAGCAAAATTCCCCATAAATGGAAGCTCTTAACGTTGAAATATGTCAAAGAGAAGATCTTTTTCGGTCTATCACGTGTGTATCACAGTTGGGGTCGGTGGAATTTCACCCCATCCATTGGATAATAGAGTAATCATAAATTGGGTTCAACATCAGATCATTACGTTTCACTCTCCCCATTAATTTTTAACCAATTAGATTATTTATTGGGTGTATGATTAGTGTTTACGGCATGTGATTGAATCTGCTTAAAGTTAGACATGATCAAGGGTCGAACTGGCCCAGATCGACCTAGAACCGGTTCGGATCAATCGGTTTCTTAACCGAACCCTTACCCTTTAAGGTCTAGCTTGGGTCGTGTTTTTCTCCTTTTTGACCGGGTCGGGCCGGGTCGTTTCATGTCGGAAGACGAGTCGCAGTTGTTATCTTTTTTTTTTTTGTAAAAAAACAGACGATAAAATGAACCAACGGGTCTGGCCAGTTCATTTGAACAAGCCCTTAGATTTAACCGGGCTAGTTACGAACCCAACATTTGAGGCACGCCAACTCGGCGGGCCGGCCCGACCTCTAAACACGTCTCCTTGAAGTCGGTTTGTTCCTACTTTAAATGTTTCAAATTTTTTGTTCTACATATATAGTGCTACTTAATTGCATTTCAATTATTTTGATCCAATAATATTAGGTTTATAATCCGATCGAGTCCAATGGAGTTCTATGAATTCAAAGCTCGATTTATTCAATCATTGTTTGAATTTGTTTGTCTTTTATGTAAGAAAAAGAGAACTTTAAGTTTGAGTTCGTATTTGACAGTTTTGCTATGGAGCCATCGGATGGCTCGGCTTATGGAGCAATCCATACTTAATCACCAATAGTGTATTGACACGTGTCCTGCAATAAGTACAATTTAGACAGGTGTCATTATATTAAGTGATGGATGGCTCCATAGAATTTTTGTCGTATTTGATTCGTTTAATTACCGGCACTAGATTGTAGTCAAAGAGTTTGAGGGATTCCAACTCAATTTTCATTATGTTAATCATTGTTCAAATTTGTTTGATTATATGAAATTCCAAGTTGTTTGACTCATTTAATTATCAACACTAGAATGTAGTCAAAGAGTGAGGGATTTCAAGTTCAATTGTAATTATACTCCATCATCGTTCGAATTTTTTGGTTTATATGAAAACTAGTTGTTTGACTCATTTAATTAGGAACACTAATTAAATGATCAATTATTATTGTGTACACGGACGTATTGCTATGAAATTACAATATACCTTTTTTTTTTTTTTTTTTACAGGGACCTTCCGGTTTCTAGATTCACAGAAGAACCGACTAATCCGGAATCGAGTCGGGTAGGACCACAAAGGCGGCAAAGCTCTCCCTCAAGAGATTTTTTTTTTTTTTTTCAAATTACAATATACTTGATATGACGGTATTGTATCTTATATAGTATCATCCGTCATCAAAAAGCTCTCGTAAGAAGAATGAATTTTGGAAAATGAGAACTCGGTGAATATTTCTTTCATCGCTCCCAACATACCAATATTCACACTAATGGTACGTAAATGGCATATCTCCGGGTGCCAGCTAAGGGCTTTTTAAGCCCGATTCCTATCTCTTACGTAATTGAACAAGAGAAATGAGAGATACCTCTCATATTTTCTTATTCAATCGAAAATCAACTGCCTCCAAACAAAAAACTCAATATACTCTAGCAGAAAATCTATCTGTCGTCAATGTAGCTCACACACAATCGCCTACCTCAAACTCAAAATGACGACGACGCGCATCCGCATGCTGCTTGTACAAAGCCTTAGCAGAAAATCCTTCAAAAAATATTTGCCTCGGTTCGAAGCGTAAAGCCGTCAAGTAAGCAATATGCCAAATCTTATTCAAAATCATTCTAAGTAGCGAACGAGCTACATCCTCAGCTTTGTAATCCTCGAGTTCATCCTATTTGGATGTTGGCTAGCCGAAGCTAGAAGTAATGGTTGTTGAACTAAGGTCAATCTTGGAGTAGTCCATTCCGCCATATATGTCTCCAACAAGCGTGTCCATCACTCTAGTGTTTCCCTTGTGACTCAATTCTAGTGACTCATCAAAACTTTTTGCATTTGGTTAAAGTTTACCCAAAACCCCAAAATATACCACTGTTGGTGTTATATACTGAAAGTTTGACTTTGGATGATATTACACTTTATCTTTGTTGAATGAGAATCATGTTCGATTAAACAAGTTCAATATTCTGTTGTTTTGCACTTAGATAAAATGGTTCATTATCGGGTGAACAGAAGATCATTTTATCAGTTACTTGAGAAATAAGAAATATTGGTTCACAACCTAGATAGAATTGAACAAACCATCGGAACGGTTGCAGTGTCAATTGTATAGTTGGTCTTAACCAATTAGTTGCAATAGTATATTTATGTATTGGATATCATCCAAGAGAGTAACAATTTATTTTATATTGATCGTCATAAACAAACTTAAGTCTCGGTTAATTAATGTGCTCTCTTAACTAGTAAGATATAAACAAGCATGTACATATAGTAATTATTACTTTGGTTCACTTAGTGAAATTCAGTTTACTAAGTCAACATACTTACTGTTTTGGCTAATATTATTATAAGTACAATGTGTTGTTAGAATATTTACGGCCACCATGTAAGACAGTTTGATGATGTCCCCGAAATGAGTTCATGAAGGATTGTTATGCTAAATCGTGCAGGTGGATTAAGTTCCGGCATAATAATGATGGAATGAACGACTCTAGCTTTGGTATTATAATATGTTAATTAATTGTTGATTGTCAGTAATCGAATTAATTAATGTACATTATATCTTAAACACTAAAAGGTTATTCGAATAATTATAACAAGAGTCTCGAACATAATTTTGAGGAGGATAAAGAGAGTTCAATAATATTTTTGTTAGTGGACCGAAATACTATTTAAGTATTGGCAAGAGTAGGCTTGACTCACAGTTAAGCCCGATGCTTAAGAAGCCCTAGTCCTCATCTCCTTAAGATCCCTACTATAGCTCTATGCATACATCATTAAGCTCGTGGAATTGAGAGAGAAGCAAACCTAACGTGATACACGTTGGCGCCCCCTCTCTCTCTATTACACATAGTCGAGTTTTATCTTTGTCTTGTTGTTATACCGGTACAATTCAAAGAGTGTTCAAGATATATAGTAAAAGATCCCGAGGTACCAAGACCCCGTGATCATTTATCGACGATCAACCCTGTGACCGTCGGCCCACAACCACCGTCGACCACCGCGAGCCGTAGTCCACCCCCGCACCCCGCGTACGCCGACGGCAGGCGATATATGATGCAACCCAGATGCACACGAGCCGCAACCCCATGCACTCCGACGACCTCGCTCGACGCGAACTGCGTTCTCCCGACCAAGGCTTCCAACAACTTCTCGAAGTCCAACGAGAAGAATCAGGCTGCCCAACGAATTTTGAGATCAGACGATTTCTTACAACGGTAATCTACAACGTCTCAGAGTCTGCAAATTTTAAGCCGTAAGTATAAATCTAAATCTCTAGATCCGTTGCGCATATATTTATTGTTACTATAGAATTTGTGACGAGTACATAACGAGATTCTCACTGATCCCAACAACCACCACCTACACTTGTTCCACTGACTCCTCAAATTGTCACCTACCTTGATACAGCTGACTCCAGACCCAACATTAACTAGAAGATAGGGATACAAATCTTTGTGGTCAATTGGGGCATACTCTTGCAGGCCATTCATATACGTATATGTTTCAAATTGCACGACAAAAAATGATGACGAAGAAGAAGTGTCGAATCGACGCCCCCGTCATGTGTTCCTCAGCCATATGTTTCTCGTCATAAGAAAGAGGCGGATCATCATATTCAGTCGATCCCTCATCATCATAAAAAAGTTGACTCTCATATGCAGTTGACCCCACGTAATAAAAGAGGTGGACCCTCATGTTCAGTCGATTCTTGCTTTCTAAGAACTCGGCGGCTTCCAGTTCCCCAGAAAATGTGGGGATCTCGAACCCGAAACGATGACATCCAACATCGGCAAACCGACCCTCGTCTCGTGCTGCTACCATACCGAACGAATTTTCCTCGAAGAGAGTGTTCTCATGATCATTGTCACCGAAGAACGACGAAGATGATCGGGAGTAAGGCACCTCACGATCACCCCGACCACGTCTACCACGCACCCATACATGGTCTCCACGTACTCCATCCGACGCGCGGTTCGAATTATTGCCATGGTCAGCGGCAGCCTGAGCCAGCCTGAATTCCATGACCATCGTGGGAAAGAATAGAACGAATGGAAGACAGCCAGAGGAATTTCGAACTGAAGTAGGAATCATACTGATCTGGTGATACCCACAGACGTAGTAAAAAGCGTAAAAGAACGGGAGAATTGAGAGGGGACTCTCATGTTTTCTTATTCAATAAAAAAAATCAACTGCCTCCTAATAAAATAGGAATCTTGAATAATTCCTCTCACTGTCTCAAAAATCGGCCTAGGCGGCTGCCTAGGCCACGCCCGGGCGCATCCGATTTGCACAAATCGGCAGAAAAAATCAGCCAGGAGGCCCTAGGCACTCCTGGGCGGACTTGGCGGGCTCGGCGGCCAGACGGTTAGGCAGCGCCTAGGCGGGCATAGGCGGACCTAGGTGCTCCT